AAAAAAACAAAAAAGGATGAAAGAATGTGCAGATGAAATTTAATGAACATCACCTCCAGTGCAAATAATTAACACTGTTTCCTGACTTGAAAATCATCGCTGCAAGCCAGGATCCAGTCCCACATTTTTGGGTCATTAATATTTTGACTCTAGAAAATAATTGGATGTTCTAATACTAATATCTAATTCAGAATAATGAGGTCTTGTGTATTATCAATTATCTTCCCATCCTTCTCAAAATCAGTTCCTTTGGAATCCTATCAATTCTATTTCCAATAGGGGCAGTTGACAATTTAATCCGATTTTGACCATTTTTATCATATCAAAAAATAATAATAATAACAAAAGGATACATCTCAATTCATTAAATGTTTGGTACATACTACAGTGTGCTTTGGACAATATTTTAACTTCTATTTCTTCCTTAGGTACATAGTACGCTCTAAGGGACAAGATTTTAGCTTCTTTTTCTTCCCTAATACTATCTTGTTCATCTTACCAAACATGCCATAAATGTATCTTATTAGATAACTGTGTTGCGACTACATTTGACCACATGATCGAGCTTCAAAACTGGACATGAAGTAGAAGAGCAGGAAGAAAATAACATTACTCACTACAATGTGCCTCTGGGAAAACCATAGTGACATTTAATTTGTTTATTGCCAAAGATGCAGCACATTCCATTCCTATATAGCCTCCACCAATGACTATAGCATTTCCACCACTAGAGGATTGCATGACATTTACAAGTCTTTCTGCATCAACCATATCTCGTAAGTAGCACACATTAGCCGCATCAGATCCACTCACCCCGAATTCCTCCAGCTTCAAAGGCTAAAATAAGTAATAACACGTGCCAATCAATCAGAGTTGAAATTTTTGTTTGTTGATTCCTTCTCTAATTCGATAATCAATACAAAGGACCATGTATCAATCATTGTACATTTCAATTTGAATTATGGATTCCTTGTACAACTATAAATGTTTATTAACTACATATTTATCTGATCATATATGCATTACCCTTATAAATATTTTTTAATCACAAATTTCATTCTGAAAAGATATTGATAATCTCATGGATCTTGATTTATTCGTTTCACAGTAGTTCCAAATATTAAAAGAGAACCAGAACAAGTGCTTTCTTGGCCAATCAAGAAGGTGGGCTACAAACTTCTAAATTAAAATTGGTGGAATGCCTTTTCTCCTGTTTTTCAGAGGAAAATCGCTTCCCTAAGTGGAGCCATGATTAGATATCTGTTTATCGAGTGCAACAGAGGTAAACAGAAAAGGTTAGTTTCAATACCCGAGCACCTGTTGCAACAATGAGAATTTTGTAGCTTATGGTTTCTCCTGTTGCAGTTTGTAGGGTGTTGCGCCTCACATCAGCAGACTTAACTTGTGTATTAAGAATCAATTCAATACCTAAAGAATTACATTTTGGAGAAAGTAGTTAATGAAATATAACATCTAGGTCATTTAAAAGAATCTCCAAACTAAATCAGAAAAATGAGAAAGTTACAGTTTTGAAACTGACATCAAGATCTTTTTCTATTACTTCTGGTAAAATGTTACAGCAAGGTTACTGTTGCGTGGAAGTCAATCACAGACAAATAAATTAGAAAAAGATCTTGATCTGGGAAAGGCACAAATCATCTCACTCGAGAAGCATTTCATTGTCTCGAGTACCATGGGTGATGAATTAGCCTTGAAGATATAAACGAGATATAAATGAAAGGTCTAACTAAATGCTGTCTTCATCATTTTAAACAGAAATCATAAACTCATTTACAAGTAGTCCTGATTTCTCCAGTCTCGTCTACGATAAGAATGTTATGAGAAATTTTTTGATAGTATATCTTATTGTTTGCTAAAGAAGTGAATATACTATCAAAGATAAAATATACATCAATAAATTCATCTACTACTAAAAAGCTTGAGGTTTTTAGACGAGGTGATTTGCTTGGTATTATAGCAAGCAAATGTCCTATGCTCAAATTCCAATGCCATCTATTTACGAGAATTCCATGTGCCTTTGAGCCCTAATCTATTTGTTGGAAACTATGAACTGTATCCAACAAAAGTTCAATTACATGATGATAGTTTCATTTGATGGCCGTAGAACCAATAGGCAACATGGAGGAATAAAAGAATGCACAGTGATAAGATAGAATTACATTTTAAAGGCACTTGCTTTACATATCACCCAAGTAGAAAAACTCATGACATCTAATGACTCCTTCAGAAACATAAATTAGAAGCCAGAACAGGAGGTAGAATTACCATGTTCCTTATAATATTTTGGGGTTAACTTTTCCTCGTTGGAACCTACACAACAATGAAATGAAGGGAGGCGAGCTGGATCTGCATCTATAACAAATACAAAGGGTTAAGTCACATAGAGTGTTGAATCCTCATTGTCACACTCAGATTAACATTACTAAAGGAACATAAGCACATCCAAGAATAGAAAAGAATAAACGCAATAGACAAACATGCTTCGAAAGTGTTTTACCCGAAATTAATTATTTCAGAAAAACAGCAGTAGTACAGTCATTGTACAAGAGTGCAGGGACTAACTCTCCATTATGAGGAGCGTAATGGCTTAAAAACAATGGAATGTATCAATTGACTTATATAGGGGCCGGCCACAACCTAGATTTTATCCGTTGAAGCATTTAGACCATTTCTACAGTTCAAATAAAAGATTGCTACATAATTTTTGAAATTGCTCATTGGCGAATCTGTTTTTCTTATTGCGAAGTGACCTCAGTTGATACTGGTTTAAACCCTAGTTGGGTGAGAGCTCAGCTCGATTGTAAGAAAGAAGCGGAAACTTGATGATCATTTCATTTGCATTTTGCCTTCAATTAACAGGAGGATTCACTGCAAATACTAGCTTGGCTCATTATTGCCGAGGTAATGGACTACTTCTTCAATTCAAGGAAAACATAGCTAAATAACACAAGATGAAATCAAAGGTCAGACATTGGAATTATTTTCCAGTAACAGCACCAATATTCATCCAATGGAACATTTTCTTAAAATAGTGATTTTTTTGAAGGGGACATCTGAACCTTCTACCTAATGACAATCCACTAACTCTGTGACTACGGATCCTTGCATTATTCCGAAAGGAAACATAATTATATTAAAGCTTCAAAATACATTGGCTTATAAGAAGTATTTATGACTCGTGGAGGAATCTGAGACACATATTAATTCAGGAAACACGAGGGGAGAAATTACCTTCTGGAAGTAAATAACCTTTGCTTAATGCAGGCCTCTCATAGGGTGCAACCTGCAAAAGTGTACTAGAATCAATAATATATCCAAGTAATTAATAGGCTAAAGCATTATTGGTAGAGTACCTCTCTCAAGACTTTACTACTTCCCCTTGACCACATTAGAATGCCTTGAACCAAGAAACTATAGCAATTATTTAATAAAATTATTATCTATATTTATTTTAAATTAAAAAATCGGGATGAACAGACAAACATCGAGATTCATGAGTAAACAGAAAATATGCCATGATTCTGGCACATTTAACAATTGTTTTAGGATTTTCTCTCAGTGCCTAACAACCCATTAACTTCTCAGATTTCTTGTATTTGCAGAATTTCCCTAGTTTCACAAATTCCAAAGGGAAAAATAAATGCACAATCTCTACAAACTCAAATGAGTCAACCTTTACTTATTTATAATTTATTTACTCTTTTGGTACGTGTTCAATGATTCTGCCTATTCCAACTCCGAAACTGCTTTTGGGAAGTACAATCAATTTTTATATATGATATATAAATAAAACTATTAACTCAAAGATGCTGAAAAGCTTTTCGTACATGGAATTCAGGGTAATTCTTAAATATGACATATAAATAAGAATCATGCTACTTGTACAACTTTGGTTTGACAACTTCA